TAACCATATCCTTTGATCAAAGGCCTAAATTTGACGACACTCGGAACAGCTACTTTGGTTATTTATAATTCATGTGTATTTTAATGTACCGGATAGTACGCGTACTTAGTATCTTGTCCCTAATGTGACATTGACATAAAACAGCTTTAAGGGAACAAGTTCAATGAAATAATCAATAATATTTCATAATCCACGTTAAAATACCTATTTCAGTCTCAAAGCAAGAACATAACAATAACATCCCGAGGATTTCATCAAATTGACAACATGTTTCAAAAGGGAGTACTTGAGAGAGAAAAGAAAGCATTTGTTGTTAGCCTTTTCAATTAAAGGCTTTATTAAGTACGGACGTAATTTTTATTGTATCGTTAATTGTTACAAAATTAGAAATATCGCCTTTTATTCTTTATGACTTCATTTATACCCCCGAACCATTATCAATGTGTACTCTGTGTTAGTGTGTTGGTATCACGTACAGACGTAATCTTTATTGAACCGTTAATTGTTACAAAATTGAAGTCATCTCGTTTTATTATTTGGTTGGCCTCATTTATACCCCCGAACCATTATCACTGTGCATGTGTAAGTGGGTTTGTATCCAGTACGGTCGTAATCTTTATTGTACCGTTATAATTGTTACAAAATTAAAATCATCACGTTTTATTATTTATTTGGCCTCATTTATACCCTCGAACCATTACCACTGAGTGTGAGTGGGTTGACAAGAGGTTACAGACACAATGGGTTACATACAAAGCAAATTGGCGTTAATAAATTGTTACACAATGTGCATTCTTATAGTTTATTGAAAATATATATTTTATATCAAATATATTGGCCAAGTACATTTGGAAACACTGCAGAAAGGTAAACGTGTGTATATAGGGAAGAATGTGAACTATCTATCATATATAAGATGGGAAAAAAACTAAAACCAATGCAGACCATTATATAATAAATATCAATAATGTTAAAACAGTGACTTGATTATCTTCTCTCGTCCTAGCACTTCCGGATATTGCGTTTAGTGAATACAATACACGAACCATTAGACTGCGTACACGGAGATTAATGCAGAATCAAGGGACTTAAAAATGTAGCTAATGACCAATTGCCAAAGTCAATCATGTCACTAACACATAACAGTTGCCTAAAACGTCAGCGACATAAAAACAATATATAACCAGGTAAGGGGTCGTGGGAAGAAGTCAACCGGCCAGACAAAATTAGTGGAACGTATAACCTATCGGAGTGCGTGGTTAATCTTCAATAACATCTTCATCACACCAAACTGTCACGTGACCTATTGGGGACTGTCCAAACTATACAGATAGCATTACCAAAGGAACCGTATCTATACATTTTCCAACTTTTCGGAAAATCCTAGCTAAACACGCTTTTGTATTCATTGCAATCTCTTCAAATTTTCATTCATAATAAGGATACGGACTTGCCTCGTTTGTATTGGTTTCCGAAATTTCACGAGAATCTATATAAAACACATTTCATGGTTAACTTTTCAAATTGCAAAGTCAAACCATTAATCATACTTTGTATTGTCATTCTTAGAGCCAGTAAATCAGTGTTACAGTCGTATAGTGGCAAAGTATACTTCAAAAAAGGATTAATGGAATATAGGTTTTAAAAAATATCAAAACATTTTTTGATCATTCTTGAACATTCTCTCCTGGAATTTTTTTTCTATCACACATCCAACTTACCGACTCTTTATATTCCAATACCCCAAACCGAACTGAAGAAATGTCTTCGTTCTATTTATGCGGGGGTTTTTTTCCGTGAAAAGCGAAAGGTGGCGATAGAAAAAGAAATGGTTGTGTAGCATATTTGTTTGAAAAGCACAACAAACATTAAAATGATATATACTGAGGGCGTCATTGTGAGAATGATTGAGTGCCTGGTTGATAATGTCTTTGATGAGTTCAGTGGCAATATTTTCCTGCAGATTGAATGGATTCCTATGGGAACAAACTGTGTCCCTCTTCCGACCCAGTTGGCATCTTTAGCCTATAGGGTATTGCTCATGCTGTTTGCTGTGGAATAGTCCTTGGCCATCGAAACGTCCACAATTAACTGTGTTAAAAAGGGGCGTTATAGTTACGTGTTTAGAAGTTGAATATAAAGACTAGTTCAAAATAGGTCCTGTCCAATATTGGACTGGCCAAATATTGAATTAAGTTACCAACTGGTGACGTTTCGGATGGATTTTTTTATGTTTTTACTTTTATATCACTTGTAAATCTATAATTGACAAAATTGTCATGTAGTTCATTAATTTTACATGCATAAAACGATTATTTTGTCTGTCTTTCTACAGTGATAAACACAATTTCTACTGGTACGGTTTACATTAAATATTACTCTAATAATAAACAAATACTAACTGTAATGGGGGCCATTACTGAAGTCCCCCAAACCCCCGCAGTTATGTTTGCAGTGCCAAAATAGACCACCATATGAAAGAGGTATGGCGGAAAACTGCCCGTATTTCCCTAAGTCGGCATTTTTGAAAACGGAAAAAAATATTGACGAGTAAATAATTTTTAATAGCAAAACTGCATGGAATAGATATAAAACCAATTGAATATACTTAAAATACTTTAAAAAATACTTTTAATACTTTCCCATCCGAGGACCAACTTTTGAATAAACTTTTTGATTCCATGATGTAATATGTAAAAACAAATCGGATGACGGAAAAGTGATCCTCCTTTGGGAAAGTGCTCAAAATGATGAAAAACAGGGTTGTTTAAGTTATTAAAACTGCAACAGATGTTTCTTGGGTTAAAGGAGTTTGTATTTCAAAATTTGTCTATGTCCGGTGTAGCCTAATGTCTAACGTAGTTAGCCTGTGAACATAAATATGAACGGTGTAGGTTCGAATCCACATTCAGATACACTTTTTTCTTCTTTCATCTTTAATATTTAGGCAAGTGATCATTTTCCTTAGTAAAGTGAAAAATAGTTTTAAATCAATGGAACATTTTATTTATATTTTAATAACATACCTATTGAGTTATCTTCTATGGAATCATGTCAACAAATCCCTGTACGCGTGTACAGTACAGCTACGCTTTGTTTTATGAATTGTTTTACCCTCCAATTGGCTCAAGTATTTTTAATTATTATCTAAACACAAACAAATGATGCCAAAGTACAAAATATACGGGATTTTTTTTTTGTTGCGTCAGAATAGAAAAAAAAGGCAAAGCAAAAAAAAAGAAGTGTTATTATCGCAAAAATATTACCGGACATGCAGGGAAATTCATCGTCGAGGACAGTCTCATTTGTTTTAAATATAGGAAGACTGCAGCACAAAGTTAGGAGCGCAATACACGTGTAAGACATGCTATTCGAAAACTATATGTAATTTTACCATTTCAAGGTACAGGTAGAACAAAATCAAGATGCGTGCTTTTAATGAAAACATATAACGGCATGACGTAGGCAATAGTAATGAGAATTAAATCCTTTCAATCTTGGTAATGATTGTACGATCTTGTGTTTTATACAGCATAACGTGAACTAAGCATTTTGGTGAGTCTTTATCTTGAAATGCATGTATTAATAGCCATGACCCTACATTCGTCTGTTTACAATAATCCATTATGTTTTACGAAGAAGAAGAAGAAGAAGAAGAAGAAGAAGAAGAGGAGGAGGACTTAATTATTTACCGTAGTCATAATTATAGATTAATAACGTAGTAAAGATCTCTTTATTTCTACATATATTTCCATCAGGGATGTATAATATACTGTCCCTTGTTTCTATGAAACTTTTTTTCGCATTTTCAATATATAAAGTACATCTTATTCTAAGCTATATCATTAATCAATTTTATTGAATATTGTTGATGAGATCCATGAGGAGGTAAAAAACATAGATGATTAAGTAAAAACATGTTGCATTACTCATCAAACACACCTTGATTTGTGACACAAGATAGCAAAGTTATTGTAATCCCACCTGCTACATATACCGNACAATACGCAAAGACGGAATATCATTAATCAATTTTATTGAATATTGTTGATGAGATCCATGAGGAGGTAAAAACATAGATGATTAAGTAAAAACATGTTGCATTACTCATCAAACACACCTTGATTTGTGACACAAGATAGCAAAGTTATTGTAATCCCACCTGCTACATATACCGGTATCTTACCACCCCAAGAAAGTCCGAGTAGTTGTTCCGGGGACATCACTACGTACAAAATGTTCCTTGGTCACAAATAGAACATCAACGTCACAAGCTACAACTAATGATCATCTAAATGTTTCCTCTCAGGTGAGCATACATTTGTTTTCTGTCATTTATTTTATATTCTTAAATGGATTATTATTCTATTATTACTTGTACTCGACGAGCAATTTCACATTTTTGTGTAAAAATAAAAATAATAAAAACATTTCTATATCTCACTAAATGGAAATTAAAAGTAAACGTGTTGTGTTTTACCAGGCAGACAATGTTACATTTCCATGGCGGTCCTGGAACTCGAATGAAAACATAATTTCTTATCTGAATTGTAGAATAAACCGGGATATTTTTAAAGAATTTTTTAATAAAAATTAAAAAAAAAACTCTGTATAATAATGCAATGCATTGATGAATTTTTAAGTTTTAGTCTTGCTATTCTTAGAATTTGATATATTTAACCAAAGATAACCCTGTAGTCTGGATTTTTTTCTGAGAAAACAGCTATCGAGCAATTGCTTTCAGTTTATATACAGGTATAATCTTTTTCTCTTTCTAGAATCTTGTTCCCAGATGCAAATTATTGATATTGTTGCTTACAGTTAAAGTTTCACCTGTGGAAGATAACAAAATGGATCGACATCATCACCATTATATTGAATAACCATGCTTATTAGTTATAAAAACTGTTCTGTTTTATGCAAGTATTAGCATCGTGTCAATAATCGACTTGTTTCCGGAACTTTCAGGACCTGACCAGCGCTTACTATATCCCTGTCACTTCCTGTTTGACAGTCAAACACAAAATGAGCCGATGAAATGGCAGGTAAACAAACCTTAATTTAATCGTGGTGTGTCATTCAATAACTGGTAAATTTAAGCAGTTGTTTCACTGAACGGTAACAGTTTCTGAGTAAGCTCTCCTAGGATTTATCAAACAATGAAGCAGCAAAGGGTTATGCTCATGATCCCTTGAACAGGGGCTTTTAACAAACATAACACGCATGTTTATTGATGTTACGAACATATCAAATATATACCATTAAGTGATACCTGAGTTCGCTGTAAGTACTTTTAAAGTTATATTTTTTGTGTTTGGATTTTATGATTTTACTCACAAATCTGCGGTCACACTAAAATGCGCCCTAGGGGAATTCGCGCCATACATTGTAGGTACGCCATAGGAGATTTAGCGCCATAGGAGTTTTTGCACGCCATAGCAAATTGTAAGTGTTATATCCACAAAGTATTTCGATTTTTCCATTGGTATACTCATTTAACATATTTACGTAAAGTATCATTTTAAAAAATGTGTACTTTGTTCGAAAATCGATCTTAATTACGAAGCACTAATTGATTTGATAAAGGGGAATATATATAACTATCGTAGAACTAGAACTTAATCGGCCCGAACTAATACCTTGGTCCTGTTCGTTTTTAAAATGTAACATTTTTATGCAGGCATTCAAACGCTTTGTCCAGGCTCTCATGAAAGCAGCATTTGATTAATAGGTCCGACCTTATTTCATAAACGAAACATTTTTTAGGTATGGATTAGTCATACTGTGGCTCAAAAAAAATAGGGTAGGTGTAGGTAGGAAAAACTTTTTATCTCATTTCCCTGTGTGTAGGATAGAGCTGTCCAGGGAAAGAAAGGGGTGTAGGATATGTCTATCTTACACCCCATTTCACGTAAAGTGTCGTCACAATGGTTTGGAACTCTCAGATGCCGCAATGCTGAAAAGGCTATGTGATGAAATTAAAACCTTTAATTATATATTTAATGTACATGTTTGAAAGATGATATTACTTTTTCTGTGCAAACGATGTTTGCAGATATGGGATATGCTTAATCTGGCTGGCTAATTCGTTTTCGTCTAAAAAGCTCAGGAGAAAAATTGATATTTTCAAAGTGGTGGCCAGTCCAAACACATTTTCATGGTTTCTGAGCTTATTCTGGTGATTGGAAGGGTAGGGAAATTTCACCCTCTGGTTTTCCCTATCCTACACCCGTGGGCATGAAAGAATTATATATTCTCTCATTTCCGTGTGTGTAAAATAAAGCTATCCAGGGTAAAGAAAGGGGTGTAGGAAATTTCTATCTTACACCCCATTTCACAAGACGTGACGTAAGAATGACGTGACATTACAAATTTGGAACTCTCTGATGCCGCAATGCGGAAAAGGCGATGTGATGAAATTGAAACCTTTTACGATATTTTTTATTGTTTTCAATTTTATTTTTATTTTCATTTTAGTGTGCAATATTATACATCTTCATCAAATTAGCAATTGTCATAATCATCATTCATCAAGCATCATCCATCATAAACAATAGCCTCATTACCAACACATCTCACAGACATGCACCATCCTCATCACCTTCATCATCACTTTTTTTTTTATACAAAACAACATCTCATCATATTTCATACAATGCATCATTATCATCATCAAAGCAATATCATTGTATTGTTATAATTTTACAAAATTTTTATTGTACACATGCATGTAAGAATTAGAAAGATGAAATTATTTCTTCTGTGCAAACTTTGTATGCACATATGGGGTATGCTAAATCCTGCTGAAGAGTTTGTTTTCGTCAAAAATGTTCTGGGGGGAAAATGATATTTTCAAAATGGTCCACAGGCATTTTCATGGTTTCTGAGCTTATTCTGGTAGTTGGAATGAGAGAAAAATACTGTTCCATGCCCAAGGGTGTAGGAACTAGGATAGGGAAATTCCACCCTCATGATTTTCAAATTTGGCAAAACCCTCGACAAAGCCTCAGGTTTTACCAAATTTGAAAATCCCTTGGGTAAAATTTCCCTATCCTACACCCCTGGACACGAAAGGGTCTTAAACCAAAAAAAAGTCATTATTTTGTGAAGAAAATCTCCTGATTACCTCAGTGAATGAAGTATGAATAACATCAAATACATAATGTTTTAATCATGTAAAATGAAAACACAAAAAAAAATTCCCTGGCTGCATTCTTAGTTTTTGTGTTGACCAGGCCCAAACAACACATGGAAGTAAATTAATTTTTGACACACCTAAATGTAGTGCTGCCACCAGTGTTACATTTCTAAATTAGCTCTTCTACTGGACACTGGTTTTAAGTAATCCAAACTCGACTGATGGTCAACACTCACCAGTGTTATGTACTCTTTTGTATTACTGATGCTTTCTGTTCTGATCAATTTCCACTGCAGCCAGTCCAAATTAATTGTGAAGAACAAAATAAGTGCAAAAACAGCTTAATTGGACTTTGTTCAAGTTTTGGGGCAAGCTTGAGGTTAATGTTTTTGGGCAAGTTGTTTTGTAAAGTGTATAGACAACCACCATTAATAGGCTATTGTATTATATGGAGTGTAAGCAATGTGCTGAAACATATTTTCAAATTTAAGGGATCAAAAACAGCTTAATTGGACATTTCTTGGACAGTTTCACAAGTATACAATTTATCACTGTCACAAAAACCTTGAATTCAGTAACTGGGTAAGTGTACTTAGATAAAACTGATATATATGTTTATTTCACTTACAATGACTTTATGAAACTGGCATTTGTGATCAAGCTAGGTAGAGGATGCCATATTGGACCTACATTTTACGCTTCAATGACTTCTCATTATTCTCTTATGTACATCTTGTATCTGATTATGGATTTGAAAATCTGCATGTAACACATCATTTAACTGTCCAGAGATTTAGAGGGTCTATGAATATAAAAAGTTTCTGAATATCTTGCTTGTCCACATGTACAGTAGATCCAAAAGTACAGCTATTTCAGACTTAAAAGCCACATATGTATATCACTCTGCTATGTATCTTTATTAAAGATATTTGTTGTATACTTTCGAAATCAGTAGAACTCCTTGATTTATTGATTTTTTTTTCTCAGATTAGATTAAAACATTTTAAACTGTAACATTTTACTCTCTGTATTATTTTACTCTCTAGATTTAAGGATTTTCACTTGATGTGACATGATACAGTGGATATAATTGACATTTTTTGGATTTTGTTTTAATTTCTTAAAACAATTTGGAGTGGCATTGTGAGTTAGTCTGTGAATAAAATTTCTTGTTTCATAAGAGTCATTGTAAGTGAATTGAACATATATGTATGTATATCAGATTTTGATTTTCTTGGGTTGAGAGATTATACAAGTGAATATGAAGGGAAGTTATATAGCTGTAATGAGGTGATCGTTTGCTCATAAAGTTCCTGTTGAGATTTAATTTGCAGCCATCAAATATATGCAGTCTCATCTTCATTTTACATGTAAAACATACCTTCCAAGTCACCTGCATTGATGTAGGTCAATATTTACCTGAAAATGACTTTCTAAAACATGTCTAAATGTACATATTTATATTTGTGTATTTGTTTAATCTAAGGTGTTTGCAATGCTTTAACAGATCATGGAAAATGTTTATTATAACCTGATCAGATAACTAATTAAAACTGTACAGGTAAAATGTAAGGGAAACTATGATAGTTTAAATACTATAACTTAACAAACCGAAATAACATGCAGTAATTAGCATGCTTGACCATATGCATGGTCAGTACATGTGGTGTATTGACCTATGACCCAAACCTTTGCCAGTAATGTTGTATTTATGTGTCAAGACATGTGCAATTGTCACTAATAGAATCTTTCACCCCCTTGGGGGAATCTCAACCCGAGGGGGAAGATTCTTAAGTTGCCAAACACGAGGCTTTGCAACTTAAGAATCTTTCCCTAAGAGTTGAGATTCCCCTATCTCACCCACAATGGGGTGAATGATTCTTTTTCTCTTAAGTATACCCTGTTTTCCCGTTGTGTATCATATACACAATGCAATGATAACGTTACATGCTAAATTCAGGGTTGCCATGAAGTTGATGAATTGTTGATGTGACGTCATTGTATTGTTGAAGTGACGTCATGCCATTGTTAAGAAAAGGGGAATCCCCCCCCCCTCTCAAAGCCTAGGGTGTGAGACAAGGAAATCTCACACCGGTAAAAGTGCGGATACACCTGTCCAGGGTAAGAATAATTAATGTTAAACTTCAAATATTAATGTGAATAAAAGAGTTAGCATATATAGTAAATGATTAAGTTGTATTGTTTATTATGATTTTATTTTTTGCAGGTATTTGATCCAAATGAAATACCCCTGCTCATCACAGGACTGCCCAGATCTTGTAGTCTGACGTTTGTAGAGTCTGCAGTGCCAAAAATGCACAGATGAAGATAGCATGCACAGTATAAGTGCACGTGTTTGTCAGAAAGCTGGCAACAAGTCATCAACGTTGGGTTAGTTTTTTGTAGTGCTTGCAATTGGTAGTTTCAAATATCAAATCTATGTGTTTTTAAATAGTTTGGCGAAAAAAGACTTAAACATTCAGCTATAAAATTGTTAAGCCACACACAATCTTTACATACAGGAAATTAAACAGAAAATTGATCTATTCTACACATTATGCTTCCTTTTTTTGGCCCCTAAATCCATCAAAATTAAAATTATCCAATAGAACTTCCAAATAACTGTTTCTTAAATTTTGAATACTTCCCTGATACTTTGATGTTAACTGTTATTTGTGTTTTCAATTATGGCTGCCATGGTAACCAGTTAATATTTGCATAAATTAATGGAATTTGAATATTCGGTCAATTTTGACAGTTTTTCGCCTAGTCTTTCTCTTATATAATTAGCTACCATACATAGAGTGCACTCTTGAACAAACTTTATATTTCTCTTAAACATGTATTACAGGTGCCTACACATTACACTTTGATAATACGCTCTATATCAATAGCTCTATAGTTCTAATTTATGCAATTTGAACTTGTTACCATGGCAACAATAATTAGAAATACAAATAAATATTTTCATGATAGTATTTGGAAAGTATTAAAAATTAAAGAAATAGTCGTTTGAAAGTTCATTTAAAGGTTTTTAATTTTAATGCATTTATTTTGGGGGCCAAAACACGTACGCCCAAACCATATATAGTCCTTTTCATAGAAAAGACATCATCAAGGTAAATAATATTCGCCATCCAAATTTTTCAGGAAATTATTGATAAATGTTTGTGAAGAATAAATGGTGGTGTTTTTTTTGCAGTAGAATTTATTTATTACCCTGATCAGTCTTCTCCAAAAATTACTTTGTCGCCTTTGTGATGAAAAAACAACAACAAATGCAGGATTTTTTCATCGAAATTGCAGATGCTATCCTGGAAAGCCTCAACCAATTGTTACAGAGGTGTGTCGAAGGAGCTGAATAACTCTTTTAAGGTAACAAATGACATCTAAATATCAAAACAGTTCAGCTAAATGTTAATGGTAAAGGATAGTTTAATTTGGTTACAGTGAACATCTTAATCACAAAATATATCTGCTCTTAAAGGATAGTTATGTTGCTCTTCCTACTACAAAATTATTACTAGACCTTTTATATATTTTTGTTTGGATTTAAACATATCTTATTCGATCTGACAACTGGATCAGAAACAAGTTGTTATACATGTCACTTGATGTCACTTCTCCATGTTACAAAACACAGTAACGAACAGCATGTGTTATACAAAGCATATATACAGAAACAAAATAGTTGAGGACAAAACAAGACGTACATATAAATTAGGTCTTTATCAAAGTAATGTTACTCCAGACACCTAACTGGGGAAAGGGTGATGGTCTTATTGTAGGGTTGGTCGTTAGTTATGTACACTGGACGTCTTATAACAAAACATGTATGGTCTTATTGTAGGGTTGAAAATACATGTTTTGCTATAAGATGTCCAGTGTACATAACTAACGACTAACCCTACAATAAGACCATACATGTTTTGTTATAAGATGTCCAGTGTACATAACTAACGACCAACCCTACAATAAGACCATGCATGTTTTGTTATAAGATGACCAGTGTACATAACTAATGACCAACCCTACAATAAGACCATACATGTTTTGTAATAAGATGTTCAGTTACATAACTAACGACCAACCCTACAATAAGACCATACATGTTTTGTTATAATATAAGACGTCCAGTGTACATAAATAACAACTAACCCTACAATAAGACCATGCATGTTTTGTTATAAGATGTTCAGTGTACATAACTAACGACTAACCCTACAATAAGACCATACATGTTTTGTTACTAAGATGTCCAGTGTATAACCCTACAATAAGACTTTGTACCCTCTGACTATCACAAGGTGTACTTGTACCTTCTGACTGTCAGATAATGTAAGTGTACCTACTGACTGTCACATAATGTATGTGTACCCTCTGATTGTCACATGATGGACTTGTACTCGCTGACTGTCAGATGATGTATGTGTACCCATTGACTGTCACATGATGTACCTGTATCCACTGACTGTCACATGATGTATGTGTACCCACTGACTGTCACATGATGTATGTGTACCCATTGACTTGTCACATGATGTATGTGTACCCACTGACTGTCACATGATGTATGTGTACCAACTGACTGTCAGATGATGTACATGTACCTACTGACTGTCAGATGATGTATGTGTACCCACTGATTGTCAGATGATGTACCTGTCCCCGCTGACTGTCAGATGATGTAAGTGTATCCACTGTCTTTCACATGATGTATGTGTAGTGTACCCACTGACTGTCACATGATGTATGTGTACCCACTGACTGTCAGATGATGTATGTGTAACCACTGACTGTCACATGATGTATGTGTACCCTCTGACTGTCACATGATGTACCTGTACCCACTGACTGTCACATGATGTACATGTAGTGTACCCATTGACTGTCACATGATGTACCTGTACACACCGACTGTCGTATGATGAACATGTACCCTCTGACTGTCACATGATGTATGTGTACCCTCTGACTGTCACATGATGTACGTGTACCCACTGACTGTCACATGATGTACCTGTACCCACTGACTGTCACATGATGTAAGTGTATCCACTGACATCTTATAACAAAACATGTATGGTCTTATTGTAGGGTTATACACCGGACATCTTAGTAACAAAACATTTATGGTCTTATTGTATGGTTATACACCGTACATCTTAGTAACAAAACACGTATGGTCTTATTGTAGGGTTGGTCGTTAGTTATATACACTGGACATCCTATAACAAAACATGTATGGTCTTATTGTAGGGTTGGTCGTTAGTTATATACACTGCACATCTTATAACAAAACATTGATGGTCTTAGTGTAGGGTTAGTCCTTAGTTATGGACACTGAACATCTTATCAAAAAACATTGATGGTCTTAGTGTAGGGTTAGTCGTTAGTTATATACTCTGGACATCTTCGTAACAAAATATTTATGGTTTAAATATTGTAGGGTTACTTTTTCTTTGTGATTTCTGTACCTCAGCATTTGTTCGAGGATAATCTGGCATAACAAGGTGGTTTACTATTACAACGATTGGTCATATGAATAAACTGTTCAGAAGTAAGAAATATTACCTTAGAATATGCTGGGGGTAAGCATTTAATTGTATGTTAACTCATTCACCCCTGAAATTTCATTATGAACTACTCCAGCCTTTGAATTGGAAGAGTTCAAATGTACCTTCAGGGTTAATGTGTTGTGTTAATCAATAGGATATCCCTACCATGACAAAGATGAAGCTTTTCAGTGGCTTCCTTCCTACAATACGATACCTCTCGCTCCAATAAATACATACCGATTTATGAAAACTGACTTCATCGTTTTATGTTCTTGTCAATATATTATTTATACACAATTACTGTACTTTGTTTATCTTGTAACTTTTGATACATTTGGTAGGCATAAATAGTTGATGACCTGGTGGTATTGTCTGTCTATTTTGTGGCAGCCTAGTTATCACTAGGAATGAAGTGATCAATTTACGCCTGGGTTGTCAGGTCACCTATCTTAACCATCTTTATGGAAAAAGCCAACTATTTTTTCAATAATTTTTGTAAAGTACATCCCACGGATAATTGTGTTATCACAAAAACCTTATCTTTTGCTATGCTACAAACTAATTAATTCATGAGAAATTTCCATACTATTCAAATGTTCAATGATGTATGTATAATCCTTGCATACGGATAGGTCTTAATGTAACTCATGTGATATTCTGTAGATAACGTACATCACACAACAGCCAGCTGTGTGTACACATACGTCATGTTACATTCAGTGGGTACATGACATCATGTGACACTCAGAGGGTACAGGTACATCATGTGACAGTCAGTGCATACATGTTCATCATGTGACAGTCAGTGGGTACATGACATCATGTGACAGTCAGAGGGTACAGATACATCATGTGACAGTCAGTGGGTACATGTTAATCATGCGACAGTCAGTGGGTACATGACATCATATGACAGTCAGAGGGTACACATACATCATGTGACAGTCAGTGGATACACTTACATCATCTGACAGTCGGCGGGTACAGGTACATCATCTGACAATCAGTGGGTACACATACATCATCTGACAGTCAGTCAGACTGGTACATGTACATCATCTGACAGTCAATTGGTACACATACATCATGTGACAGTGAGTGCGTACACATACATCATGTGACAGTCAGTGGGTACACTTACATCATCTGACAGTCAGTGGGTACATGTACATCATGTGACAGTCAGAGGGTACACATACATCTTGTGACAGTCAGTGGTTAAATGTACATCATGTGACAGTCAGCGGGTACACATACATCATGTGACAGTCAGAGGGAACACATACATCTTGTGACAGTCAGTGGTTACATGTACATCATGTGACAGTCAGCGGGTACACATACATCATGTGACAGTCAGAGGGAACACATACATCTTGTGACAGTCAGTGGTTAAATGTACATCATGTGACAGTCAGCGGGTACACATACATCATGTGACAGTCAGTGTATACACTTACATCATCTGACAGTCAGTGGGTACAGGTACATCATGTGACAGTCAGTGGGTACGCCTACATCATCTGACAGTCAGTGGGGACATGTACATCATGTGACAGTCAGAGGGTACATGTACATTATGTGACAGTCAGTAGGTCCACTTACATCATGTGACAGTCAGAGGGTACATGTACATTATGTGACAGTCAGTAGGTACGCTTACATCATGTGACAGTCAGAGGGTACAGATACATCATGTGACAGTCAGTGGGTACATGTTCATCATGTGACAGTCAGTGGGTACAGGTACATCATGTGACAGTCAGTGGGTACACGTACATCATTTGACAATCAGTAGGTACATGTACTATTTTGATGACTGTTCATGAACTTTGGACTCTATGCACATATGATTGTTCATGACTTGTTTGTCCAGTATCATTCATGAATTATCGTTGGGGTTATAACAAGGTATCACGACAAAGCACCATCACTATTTCCTGATATGTAGCAGCAATACAATATATGAGTTCCGAGTCTTATACTCATCAAATTTTGATGAAACTCATAGAATTTCTGGAAGTACTAAAATGTAACAATGTGGGGCCTGTTGTTTCTAGCGATAAAATTGAAAAGGACCCATGCATAGGAATTGTAGATTAATCACTGTATAAGGAGATCTAGATACAAAAACAACATAGTCGTGTGCATTAAAAGGGAAAAAATCAAAACCAACAGCTTAATAAAAGGAGTTGTTTAATAAAACTTTATCATATGCTTAATTTTATAGAAACATCAAACTAAACTAAACAGAAAAAACATCATGCTGACCAACTTCTTTATAACCAAGTGATAATTATGACAGGAAACAAACAATTGAGAGTGTTTGAAACAATTCATCATTATATATATATAATTACACCTCAGAACAATTAATATATCACCTGAGACTTGCTAAGGTGCTAAAACTGTTCAACTGTGTTTTTGTCACTATCCATGATTCAAACTATATTTTATCCAATACATTGTCATTAAAGTACAATGTGCTGGTGGTATACATGCTTCTGGGCCTTTAATCGCTTTTGATGCCACCATCTCTTAAAAATTACTAAAAATATATATAGTAAAGCAGTTTAAATTTGGTCAAAACTTAACCTTTAAATTTCCATGTCTAGTTTAGAAAATGGCTTGTGAAGTACTTGTTTTGATTGACACTATGTGTTTTTTTGTCAAAATCCTTATGAAATGTGCTGAGGCTGAGAGTCCCATGTAGGATGTTATAACAGTCTTTGTTGGTTTAAGACATGTGCCCAGTACTTTCACCCTTTCACCCCTGGGTAACTTTAGTAGACTCTACCTTACATTGATCTGGATGAGTCTATTATGGTCTACAGTAGTGGTGAAAGGGTTAATATCCTCAAAACTACTAAATTATCAGATTTTACCTTTGATTTAAATGCATCATAGGTTGTGTAGAACATTATCTCTGCAGAATCTATATACAGATTATAATCATATAATAATTTGAGGTTCTTATGTACCGCTTTATAACAACCTAGTTTGTAGGTCGTCTCTAAGTGGTTCACAAATTATATACATAGGCCCTTTGCAACCAGCCGCAATATCTTTCTCAAGTCCCTGGGGAGCATACAGCCGGTGCTGCCATTTCAGGCCGGTGCTGCCATTTCAGTGCTCAGAGCTAGCATTCAACAATTCTAGCACTGCCAAACCAAGTACTTGTTTACAGCTGAGTAGACTGGAACAAGCGGAGTAAAGTATCTTGCTCAAGTGTCTTGCTCAAAGATACAACACAGTGCCTTGATGTGACTCGAACCCGCAACCCTTCGGTCACGATCCCGGCATCCTACCACTAGATTAAGCTGCCTCCTATCTAGACGTGCTTAGACATTTTCACCCGCTTTCTGCCAATTTTGGAAAGTAATGGTGGTTATGATATCTGGTCTTTACATACAGCTACATGTACATTGCAGATAGATATTTTTGCTGATACAATACTGTAGAGGTGTCACAATTCACCGCGATGCACTTGTAACGCGATTATTTATATTCGATTCGATTCACGATATATTTTCCCCTGATTTTCAATACGCCATGATCTGAATATTAGTGTATGCCGCTTCAGCCGAAAGTCTGTTAGACTGTCAATTTCATTGGCTGATCTCTTAACCCTCAGCCAATCGGCTGCGAGGATGCAATTTTCACTAAACATAACAAAGTGGCGGAACACGGTACGGAAATGCAAGCTTCAAATCAAAAGTGTGGAAACACTTCAGGTTTCAGTGTATCGACGGCTTATATATCTCATTTTATTTATATTTTAAAATTAAAGTGTATCGAATCGAAATCATCGAATCGTGGTGCAAATATCAAGATACGTATTGAATCGTGGGTAAAGTTTATCAAGACAGCTCTATACAATAGTATGTTAGATTACAAAGACATTTGATAGTTTATGGCAATATATTGCCCATAGCTCTCCCAGTGGTGATATGGCTCCCCCATATGAGCTGGAAATAGTCTAAAAGTGTGTATCACTATATAATTGATAACAATTTACATTGTATGACCCAAGTCTTGTCAGGAATATTGATCATTTGTGCGACTCAAATTTTATCCAAAAAAAAATATACACAAATCTTGATTTAAAAAATATTTCAGTAAGAAAAGATCATTCATTAAAAAAATGTGTGTATTACAGAAAAGGATAAAAGTCGAGTACAAGACACAGTCTAAACTGTAAAAATATACGTTCATTAAGCAAACTATTTTGTAATAAATTGATTGTTATGTGACAGGTAATACTATCTTGTACCAGTACCCAAATTGAAAATGTCTTGCTATTTATTTTGATGAACATAGCACTGTCATTTTGATATATGATAATATCGTTCAATTGTCACTGCTATCATGATTGTTGACCAGTATATGCATGGCACAGTGTCCTTTTGTCTGTCATCCATCAACATTTTTCTGTCATAATTTGGGAGTTAAGGGATTGATCCAGTGGGGGCAAATAGATGGTTTTCTGGTTCCGAAAGACTTCTTAAGAAAAGTAAATGTTGTCATCTACTAGTACTGGGCACTTGGAGATAGGTTCCTGACTTCGAACAATAACCTACTCCAATTAGGATAATTAGAAATAACACGAAAACAGTCGAAAAACCCAACACTTTCTTAACAGCTTATATTATGCAATATGAAGTAAAAAAAGGAATGCTATCATGCTATCAAAAAGACTCTGTGTTCCAATTTGGGCAAACAGAAAGAGTTTTTGCCTATTTGCAGCTACTTTTTATTGCACACTTTTGATAAACCTATTTATCAAGCGATTAAAGCCACTGGGCCTCTTGTGCTTATTTTGTGTATGGCAATGCACTGATTTCTTTCTCCTATGCTTTCAGGTTGATGATGCAAGTTCAGAAGACAACATTGTAAGACTTCATCCAACACATTGGAAAGAGTTATCAGCACACGAATAAGCAAGGACATAACTGAAAAACGTAATCTAAGTGAACTGATATAAATGACACATTGGTAGCTATGGAGCCGGTTAAACAGAATGATACACAAGATGACAGTTCTAATCTCATCAGCCTTGATCAAGAAACCATTAAAACAGAGCCACCAGATGACCTGGCCATCACACATGACTCGCGAGGGACAGAACAAGTGAAGATGAAAGAGATGTATCAAAAAAGTGATGGTTTGGTCGAAGATGTAGATGTTAAGCAAACTGTGTTTGAGGTAAATCCTTCAAGTGTTGGGAAGCAGGAAACGATAACATCACCCTTACACTGTGGGAGTGGACAGGACAGAATGCTTTTGGATGGAGAGGCATCCTGTGCATCACAAACTGAAACAAAACCAGACTGTCCAGTCATAGACACCCTTTTTACATGCGAGATATGTTGCCAAACATTTAAACAGCACATCTGTCTTACGATGCATTTGAAAACTCATCTAGGTGATGGACCATACACTTGTGATGTATGCAGTAAAATATACAAACTCCCCAAGACTTTCCTGAACCACATTTCGATACACAACATCGACAATCAGTTTGATAGTCAAATATATGATCAGGGTTTTCACTCAGAATTACGAAGTAAAGGTCATCAAAAACGTGTACTCAGGAGTCAACGAAAAGGAAAAGCCAAAGAAGCAGCACATAAAAATCCCTCGTGTGATTTTTGTGACTGTTCTTTTCCAGACTTTGAGCAATTAAAAGTACATGTAGCCACCCATCAACAGAAGTCACCAACATCAATAAATACTCAATGTAATCCCTCTCATTCATCAACAACAAAACGAAGAGCAACAAGGAGTGAAACGTTATCCAGTCCAAGGCAAATAGATAACCAAACCACATTGGAACAAAGCCCTACAGAAGTACCAAACCTTACCGTTTGTGAAGAAAAATCAAAAAGAAAGAGAAAATTAGAAGAGCCTGTGTCAGTGAAAGGAGACAGGAACACGAAAGTGTTGAAAACTCTTCCAGCATGTCATCAATGTGTTGAATGTGGTGAAATCTTCACAGAAGAACCCCTCTTACGGAAGCACCTGTTGGAACATTTGAAGAAAGAATTCAAAGTTTGTTGTGGCGAATGTGGCATGAAATTTACAAATGATACAAAATTGAAACAACACACGACTGAGATACACACGAAAATTCCCTGCAAAAAATGTGATAGATGGTTGACACCACAATATATGCGGAGGCATTCGAAAATCCACAACGAAGATGATCTGCTTGAGAAAAAACCTTTTCAATGTGATGTCTGTGAAAAGGTATTCAGCTTTGCTTTCACATTGAAAGTTCACATGAACTTTCATGACCCAAAAAACTCATTTGACTGTGAAGTTTGCTGCAGAAAATTTATCAAACGTGAACACCTTGATATGCACTTTAATATCCACACACAAGCCATCAGTCTTACCCAAGTAGGGCAGACTGATCGTGTGTGCCAGAAGAATTCAGGAAAGACCGATACAGTGCTAAGTGTTGGAAAAGCAACTGAAAAACAGAAAAACGTTACCTTGTCCTCTGAAGTCCAAATTTTATCAAAAGGTAATATTTGGAAATGTGATGTATGCAAAAGGGTGTTTTGGACTAACTATCGTTACAAGAAACACATATTGATTTGCAAACGGAAGTCTAAAACGGAATGTCAGATCTGTCCCAAAAAGTGTGTTGGACATTCGAGACTGCAAATTGAAAAATCGCATAGATGTGATGAGTGCGGAAAAGTCTTGCATGGGGAGACTCCATTCAGGAAGCACATATTGGAACATTTCAAGAAAGTCTTTGTTTTCAACTGTGACGAATGTGGCATGAAATTTACAAGTGAATCCAAATTACAGCATCATACTACAGAGAAACACACGAAAGTTCCCTGTACTGAATGTGATCAATTGTTCACACCAGAACATATGCGGCGCCATTTGAAAGTCCATAAAGGTAATGGAATATCCAAGAAAAGACCTTTCCAGTGTGATGTTTGTGACCAGGTATTCGGTACATCAAGATCATTAAAACAGCATATGAATTTTCATGATCCAAAAGAAACCTTCAGTTGTGAAGTTTGTTGCAGAAAATTCACCCAATTTTGGCATCTAAAATCCCATATGAAAACCCACCCTCAAATGCAAGCATTAAGTCTGAACCGTACAAACCAGCGTGATGCTGTTTGCAAGGAAAACAACGTACAAACGGATCAGTTATCAGGTGACGAAAAAGGAAGTCAACGAAAAAGTATTGAAACTTCCCCTCAATTACGAGTATCTGTGAAAGGCACCCACATTTCTGCTTGTGAGATGTCTGGTATCCAAGGAAAACAAGTGGATCTTATGAGCAAAAACCAGCACTTCAAGTCAGCCAGAAACAAACTTAATTCAAAAGACCATACAATCTCTAACAAAACAGGAAAGGTCGAAAAACTAAGTTGTGACACTAAAACAGGTGAAGTCATGCCTAGAGCGAAAGCCAACCCTCGTCGTAAAAATGTGTCTAAAATTGATGCAGAAAGAAGTGACAATAAAGCCCCAGCCAGAAAGAAGAAAGTACAAAAATACAGTAACAAGACAAACAAATGTGGAAAGATGGGCCAATGCAACAAAGGTAGTGATGAGAATGAAAGAGTTACAACTGAAGAAGGAAACACTATCGTAATGCTTAAGTCGTGTAAAAAGACTTGCTTGCAAAAAAAGGACAGAAAGGGGCGGATTAAGCAAAATCGTTCTTGTACGATTCGTAAAACAGCTTTTAAACTTGGCAACAGGAAAAAGTTGAGCAAACAGGAGCCTACACGTCCATCAACTCAGCAGAGGGCTGTTACCATTACCAAACATTCATGTGGTGAATGTGGTGAATCGTTCACTGAAAAAGATCTGATCGACAGTCACATGATAAAGCATTTGTCTGAACTGTACACTTTCCAGTGTGATTTTTGTAGCACTAGGCTGCTCACTAACATAGGTTTGAAAAAACATGTTTTGAAAAACCACACTGAAACACCTTGTGCAGTATGTGGTCAGATGTTTGATTCTGCGACAGCATTGAGAAAACATGCCATATCTCATTCCGATGAGTCGAGCAATGCTAGTTTAGCCCGCAAGGAAAAAACCAGAAAGATCCTCTTATATTCACAACGACGAGCGGAAAAGCACGAGTACTACAATCGATATTGTTCCGGAACTTCAACAGAAAAATTTGCATGTCCAGTTTGTGAGAAACTGTACGATCGTTCTGCAGCATTATTATTCCTTGGTCATGTGAAATACCACACGAAATGGCTAAAAGTTGAGCAGTCTATCGAAAGAGACATTTTAAGGAACAAAACTGGTGACGAGTTGACTACTGACACAGCTAGTGCTGAAGCAATGGATAGGCAAAATATTAATTCTCAGAATAGTATGTATATGGGTCCAGAGAGCAAAGGTACCAATGGTTCAACTATTTGTCAAAACTCTGTCAATCTTCAAGATACGAAGACAGAAGATTTCTGGAATTCTTCAGGACAATTACAAGATAACATGGGTACCCATGCACCAGAAACCAGTTTAAATGATAAATCAAGTTTTGAACCACTCAATCAAGTGAATGACCCTTCGACAGGTACAGAAGGTGATCTGTTGGCAAAAATGCACGAGGAACAAACAGCTGCTCCTCATGCTGGCAAAATACAAGTATGGACAGTGAGGAAATTATTCCAGTGTGTACGATGTAAATTGGAATTCAAAAAAGAATATTATTGGAAACAACATAACAACGTGTGTTCTGATGAAATGATGTGTGATCATTGTGGGAAAGTATTCATGGGCAAAAGGCAGCTGCAATTGCATATGCAACGTGACCATCTTCGAAAAGTGACGCGTGTATGTCACATATGTGGTGATATTTGCAAAAGTGACTATGCTTTCAATATCCACAATCTGAAGGAACATTCTTCTGTGGAAATGAATAGCAGAGATCGAAAAAAACATCACCTGTGTGAGCAATGTGGAACAACATTTAGTTCTAGAAGTTTATTATGGAAGCATCAGCAATTAGTTCATCATAGGAAAGGTCATTCCTGTGACATTTGTGGAAAGTCCTTTGTTCACGAAATAGTCATGAAAAGACACCTGAAAGCTCACAAAATAGCCACGGACAGATCGGCTCTGCAAACACCAGTTGCTATTTCGAGTACATGTGACATATGTGGGGAACGAATGATGGAAAGAAGTATGAAGAAACATCGGCAGCTCGTTCACAATATAACAAGATGTGACACATGTGGAGATGACGTTCTCAGCGACGCCTATCTGGAACATAGCAGAACGCATCTGACGCTGTGGAATTGTGACACGTGCGGGAAACAATTTCAAAGCGCAAAAAACGTTGCAAAGCACAAAGCATGTTTCCACATCATGAAGTTGTGCGATCTTTGTGAGTTTGTGTGCGAGAGTAATCAACAACTGACCTACCACAAACTCTCGCGTCATTCAGCCAGGAAGAGGTGTAGTTTATGCAGCAAATCATACAAATCCACAAGAGGTCTTCAAAGACATACAGATATTGTTCATACAAGAATCAGTGTAGTCACGTGTCATATTTGTGGTAAGACGTCAGACAAATATAAAATTGAGCGACACATGAGAAAACACGGAGATTTACCTCAGTGTCCAGTGTGTTGCAAGAAGTTTCTTACGAATAAACGAATTGAACGACATATTTGGGAAATGCACAGGACATCGACATGTGATGCTTGTGGTAAAGAGTTTACCCACGGTCTTCTGAAACATCACAAAAAGAAATGTTTGAACATACCAACCAACAAGATGCCTGAGGTATTTAAATGTCAATTCTGCGGAATAATTTGCAAAGATCTCGTAACTCTCAAAGTACATTTGGGAAAGCACCTCATTTCAAAATCCCATGCATGTACTAAATGTGATAAAAAGTTTGACAGCGCATTGAAATTGACCTACCATCAAAGAGTGCATACGATTATGGAATGCAAGGACTGTGGAGAAAAATTCGAATCGCGATGGAAGCATCGACATTTAAAAAAAAAATGTAAGTCAAGTGACAGGACCAATCGCTCTGTGGACAACGATGCAGCATTAGTAAAATGTAACATTTGTGGGAAAGGTTTCAAAACTAAAAGTCAAGTACAAAGACATATGTTTTCACATACAAGAGCTGTATATGCATGTCAGCTCTGTAAATTCGCTACTAAAAGTCAAAGCAGGTTTGAGAGACATGGAAAAACACACAAAAAGAAGAAAAAGTCTGTTCCTCCTATTGAAAAGGAATATTCAAGTGATTGCAAAAAGAAGAAGACTTTCAAGACCTGCAGTGTATGTAACAAAGAAATAAAACATAACTTGACATTTCAACGTCACATGGCCACGCACACTGGAGTTAACACATTTGAATGTAGTATTTGTGGTAGGGGGTTCCCCACCAAAGCAGGATACAAATACCACTTAGGTGCGCATTTAGTAAAAAAGGAAAAGATTGAAGATGCTAACAAACCCGACGAAAACGTTTAACAACCGAGTTATTTAGACATATCCTTCTGCAGCTTTTTAATAATTGTGAAATTGATCAACTTCCTGTTCAGAAGTAGATGGAATGGTACTATGGTATGTTAAAAGTCATAGTGATCGTTTCCTGTTCGGTGGCAAACACTTAACTTGATGGTAAATGAAGGGTTTATGCTACATTATGTACTACAACATGTAATTTGCTGAAAGAGATATATCCCATGATGTGTTAACAAACCAAGAAAATGTATATGGTTGTGGTTGTTTGACTGTTAAATTTAACCCTTTCATCCCTGTAACATGTAAATTTTGGAAACTCTTAAGCTTCCATGCATTGATTTGGATGAGTCCATTATGGTCTACAGTGGTGAAAGGGTTAATATTTAATTTTTATTGAGGCTTTTTATACCGATTCGTTATCGCCACTTTTTTTTTCTTTTATCCAAAGAGTCTCAATGTGTGTTATGAGTGAAGTAAGTAAGCCTGGTTACTGAAAAACCATGGTGAACTTATGCCATACCACGGGGTCCGTCGTCCGTCGTCCGTCCATCAACTTTTCATTTAAAACGTTACTAGTCCTGAACTGCTTTATTGATTTTGGCTAAATTTGGCCTGGGTCATCCTTGGGCAAAGGGGACTATAATTTGTATAAACGGAGGACGTGGCTCCTCTGGGTGCAGAGGGGCGGGGCCCAATAGGGGAATTTGAATTTTAAATCTTTAAAATCTTGCTTCTGTACTATTGGAGAGATTTCATGCAATAATAATAATTTCCCATGGTTACTTTATTTTCCACGTGAGCGATATAGGCCCTCTCGGCCTTTTGTTTTTACAAAGGGTTCCCGACACACGGAGTGTCAACTTTGAATAATTCCATTCAGTTCACTTTTTAAATTTAAGTGAAGGGTTTCACCGAATCGAGGGTTGCGGAGGAGGATATGGGAGTAGGGTGACAAGAAATGACGTATTAGATTTTTTTTGTCCATTTTTAATGATAAAATGTGTCGTTATGTATCACAACTTTCTGAAGTAAAGTGGTTTGCATCACAATATAAATAATGTATATAAGAAAAGATAAGGAAACACACCCTACATATTTTTATGTGAATTATATTTATGCTGTTGTGGATGATAAATGTTTTTACACGCTTCATTTTGTTATCAGTTTACGTATTATGTTACACATTTTCCATGTTAAAAATGTACAGGTCCCGTTCTCGATACACATTTCTTGTCTGCACGTATATATGAAATCAACAAAATTACAAATTCTTTACACGACCCTTGCGGTTGAAACAAGTATACTGGTCTGCTGTTTTCATGAAAATCAAGAGAATCACATGGAAGCGGTAAAATCTACAGGCTTTCTCCTTTTTTAGCTCCTCTATAATTTGCATACCAGATACCATCGATTTTGTCGGGACAAATGTACATGTTTCCAGTGCAACGTGTTTTAACCCCTTCACCCCTGAAGACACATTTAAACTCTTCCAAATCAAAGGCAGGAATAGTTCATTATGAAAGTTCAGGGGTGAATGATTTAAACACAAACTTGTAGCTGGATTTTTTTTCTGACGCGGTGTACGCAAAATAATAGCTTAATTACTATTTTTCTATCGTTGCTGTAAGTTGTAAATGTTTAACAAATGAATAAAGGTTAATGATTCATTTTCCGCTTTTGTTGTGTTTCTGCATTGTACATATGTGTCTGAGCATTTTATGCATGTATTTACATTCTTCTGACCATAAGTACTACTGACGAATCATTACGAGGACGAAATAGCTACATGGCACAATTAAGTGGTTAATTTGTTTGACCTTTCTGTATCGAAAAATTCAAATTTTAAAGAAATATTTCCTTACTGTGTGTCCCTATTGGGTAATGAAGGTCTCTCATCCTCCGTGGTTCGTCCGTTATTCTATTTGTCATTCCTTATACAATTCTTGTTAGCACTATTTAGCAGAATGTACATGGAGAGTATTTCTCACATTCCACATAAAGGTTAGCTATTGTACCTGGTTATGCATAGTGAATTTTGGGACTGAGCGGAAAAACCCAAGATGACCGATAGGCGGCCATCTTTGATTAAGAAAGATCAAGTTTGTTACCACTATTTCTGAAAGCGAATTGAGGGAACTTTTGTAAATTTCACTCCAAGGTCCCTCATAGTCCATAGTTATGTATAAGTAAGATATGGTCTCCAAAAGACGCATATTCTTTTCACGTAACTTTACGACGCTTTCCAAATACGGGTTGATGTCATTTAATTATAAAGTTGCTGTTGCCATGCTTAATGGAGTCCAACCGGCCTCTTCAACTGTGACTTGAAAAATCGATGGCTGCTGATGACAGCCTATTTGGTGAACCATTGCCAGAGCTCGCAACATCAATTAATGACAAGTTGCGCAGGATCATTACAAACTTGCAGTCAAAGTAATGAGCTGGATCAGCTACCAAAAGGAATATATTGAAGCAATGTCTTAAAACACTGCTTCCCTTGATATCCTCAGTTTCGAACATGTCATTGGCTGAGTCAAAGGTTCCAGTGTGTTTCATAGTGTTTGATCAGTGTTTGATTCAAAAGATTATTGTAAGCGAAAAAATGACAAAATTTTATCTTTTATGGCGCTGAATGTCACGCAGTTATGGGGTTATCTTTTTGGGTTAATTTTGGAGTGTGCAGTATAACGAATAAAGTAACACTGGACAGTTTTTTTATCAGAATAAAACAGTTATGCTACTCATTGTACGTTTGTAACATTTTCACAAAGTACCGATAAAAGAAAGTCTTAAATGATTTTCAACCCATATAACAAAAAATTCTGCTACAAGACTTTGATGTTTTGTGCACTAAAATCCCAAAATTGTCATTAATTCTTAAGTTTGAACTCCTTCATGCAGTGATCACTGCTCGCTTTCTTTTACAAGTGCTTTTAACTACTTTGAAATGAAAAGATCTATAAGTAAACATTTACCACCTGGTCAAGCTAGTTTGGGTTTTATTGAAAACCAAAAACACTTTGTTAGTTAGGAACCTTTACTTTGCCATGTCTATTAATCAAGATGATGTTAATACTATTCCAAAGAAAATCAAGAGTTCTGATTGCGAAGCAATAAGTGTTAACTGGATTAATACATATGCTAATATAGGATCTCGCTTAAGGTCGTATTGCTAAACGGAAATAGGAAGTACATCCCTAGTTGAAAATCCAATGTAGGGAGACAGTATCACAATTTCCGCATATTCTAATGTTTAATATTAAACTTATGAATAGTGTATGTATATTATTGACAGAACAGTGTAGTCTCTCAATATTAAAGTATTTCAAAGCAATTTTTTCTGTACTTCAGGAAACCGGCTACCTATTTCACTACTGTGAAGTTTTTCAAGAACGATAACTCTTACATGCAATTACTATGTGTATATGGTTTTATTAAATAATGTCAATTTTTAATCGTTTATAGATAATTATTTTACACAATTTCAGCATTTATTAAAATGATATACATTAATGCAATACTAATCTATGTCGGTATCATTTTTATTGACATTATTTTGCAAAAACTTGTGTCTTTCATTTTTTTCTTCAACATTCACTCCTTTTTACATAAATTTCCATTTAAAATCATTAAAATATGTGATATCAAAGTTTTACTTTCTAACATAAAAGTATTTAACGTGTTGAAACGTTTCAAGACCGACTGATCCCTTTGTCAAGCTTTGACTGAGACGGTCTTGAAACGTTGTGTCATAGCTTGACAAAGGGACCAGTCGGGTATTGAGTCATAGCTTGACAAAGGGACCAGTCGGGTCTTGAAACGTTTTGTCATAGCTTGACAAAGGGACCAGCTGGTCTTGAGTCATAGCTTGACAAAGGGACCAGCTGGTCTTGAGTCATAGCTTGACAAAGGTACAAGACGTCGGTCTTGAGTCCTAGCTTGACAACGGGACCAGTCGGGTCTTGAGTCATAGCTTGACAAAGGGCCCAGCTGGTCTTGAGTCATAGCTTGGCAAAGGGACCAGCTGGGCTTGAGTCATAGCTTGACAAAGGGACAAGACGTCGGTCTTGAGTCCTAGCTTGGCAACGGGACCAGTCGGGTCTTGAGTCATAGCTAGACAAAGGAACCAGTTGGGCTTGAGGCATAGCTTGACAAAGGAACCAGTCGGGGCTTGAGTCATAGCTTGACAACGGGACCAGTCGGTCTTGATACGTTGAATCATAGCTTGACAAAGGAACCAGTTGGTCTTGATACGTTGAATCATAGCTTGACAAGGGAACCAGTTGGTCTTGAGTCATAGCTTGACAAAGGGACCAGTTGGTCTTGAGTCATAGCTTGACAAAGGAACCAGTCGGGTCTTGAGTCATAGCTAGACAAAGGAACCAGTTGGGCTTGAGTCATAGCTTGACAACGGGACCAGTTGATCTTGAAACGTTGAGTCATAGCTTGACAAAGGAACCAGTCGGTCTTGATACGTTGAATCATAGCTTGACAAAGGAACCAGTTGGTCTTGATACGTTGAATCATAGCTTGACAAAGGAACCAGTTGGTCTTTAAGCGTTGAGGCACAGCTTGACAAAGGGACCAGTCGGGTCTTAAATCATAGTTTGACAAAAGGACCAGTCTGGTCTTGAGTCATAGCTTGACAAAGGGACAAGTTGGGCTTGAGTCATAGCTTGACAAAGGGACCAGTCGGGACCTGTGTCATAGCTTGACAAAGGGACCAGTCGGGTATTGAGTCATAGCTTGACAACGGGACCAGTCGGTCTTGATACGTTGAATCTTAGCTTGACAAAGGAACCAGTCGGTCTTGATACGTTGAATCATAGCTTGACAAAGGAACCAGTTGGTCTTGATACGTTGAATCATAGCTTGACAAAGGAACCAGTTGGTCTTGAAGCGTTGAGACACAGCTTGACAAAGGAACCAGTTGGTCTAGAAGCGTTGAGACACAGCTTGACAAAGGAACCAGTTGGTCTTGAAGCGTAGAGACACAGCTTGACAAAGGGACCAGTCGGGTCTTGATACTTTGAATCATATCTTGACAAAGGAACCAGTTGGTCTTGAAGCGTTGAGACACAGCTTGACAAAGGGACCAGTCGGGTCTTGAGTCATAGCTTGACAAAGGGACCAGTCGGGTCTTGAGTCATAGCTTGACAAAGGGACAAGTCGGTTTTGAGTCATAGCTTGACAAAGGGTACAGTCGGGTCTTGAATCATAGCTTGACAAAAGGACCAGTCTGGTCTTGAGTCATAGCTTGACAAAGGGACCAGTTGGGCTTGAGTCATAGCTTGACAAAGGGACCAGTCGGGACCTGTGTCATAGCTTGACAAAGGGACCAGTCGGGTCTTAAATCATAGTTTGACAAAAGGACCAGTCTGGTCTTGAGTCATAGCTTGACAAAGGGACAAGTCGGTTTTGAGTCATAGCTTGACAAAGGGACCAGTCGGGACCTGTGTCATAGCTTGACAAAGGGACCAGTCGGGTCTTAAATCATAGTTTGACAAAAGGACCAGTCTGGTCTTGAGTCATAGCTTGACAAAGGGACAAGTCGGTTTTGAGTCATAGCTTGACAAAGGGACCAGTCGGGACCTGTGTCATAGCTTGACAAAGGGACCAGTCGGGTCTTGAGTCATAGCTTGACAAAGAGACCAGTTGGTCTTGAGTCATAGCTTGACAAAGGGACCAGTTGGTCTAGAGTCATAGCTTGACGAAGGGACCAGTCGGGACTTGAGTCATAGCTTGACAAAGGGACCAGTTGGTCTAGAGTCATAGCTTGACAAAGGGACCAGTCGGTCTTAATACGTTGAATCATAGCTTGACAAAGGGACCGGTCGGTCTTGAGTCTTAGCTTTACAAAGGAACCAGTCGGTCTTGAAACGTTGCGCCACGTTAAATACGTACATTGTTTGTGTATAAAGTAATGATAATTCGAGGTTCTTATATACCGCTTTATCACAACCTAGTTCTTAGATATGACTTCCCATTAAATTTACAGAAAGTTTGATAAAGAAATTGTTGCAGGGTTATCTTTTACACGTAGCTAGTGTAGATAGTATCTATGTAAAGGTGATGCGACAGATCAAGGTATCTATAGACTAATACTTATCACACCAGCCCTATCTATACTTACAGACACATGGTTTTAAAATATAAATTAGAATACAATACAATATACAACATCTGATATATATCCCCCTATCTAGCTAGAATAAGCTACTCTAAAGCGCTTTACAGTACATAGTTATACAATATAAATAATATACAACATTTGATATATATCCCCCTATCTAGCTAGAATAAGCTTCTCTAAAGCGCTTTACTGTACATAGTTATACAATCAATACAATCAGCATATACATACAATCTGTAAATCAATACACTTTTTGAGGAGTACGGAGGGGCTGAAACGATACGATTTCACACCCGGTGAGAAATCGTGCAAAACATGTGGGCACAGGTGACACGTTTCCTCACCCTGCACGATTTCTCACCCCAACTTTCTATCTCAATTGGGGATGGATTTTGTCCATGGTGTCTTAAAACTTGCCTAAGTGTACATGTAATAGATGAGCTGGCATGATATCAAATGAGTAGTAGTTCAATGTAAAACATGCCTATTATTTATTTATTGATTTATCTATCAATCTATTTATTCATATATTATTAAGAAATTAATTGCTTTTTACCGAAAGTCGATCTAAACCCCTAAAACATATACAAATTACATTGTAAGCCTACTGGTTTCTATGCTATGACTATTGGACTAATTCAAGATTTTTTCAATATAAATAAAAAGACCTCTGGTCTTTATAGCATATACAAATGTTTTTGTTATACAATGTTGTTTGAAACGTTTAACATGTAAGACCACAGCTACCTATTAAGTAAGTCAAATATTAAGGTAATAGGATTGTGTCGCCATTTCTCAGTAGAATTTATTCAAATTTTGTAGTTATAATGCTTTGGAATAAAGAAAATTTTCTGCCACAAAAAAATATAGGTTGTCAGAATTTTAAGGATTTTAAATGGAAATTTATGTAAAAAGGAGTGAATGTTGGAAAAAAAATGAAACACAATTTTTGGCAAAATAATGTCAATAAAAATAATACTGATATAGATTAGTATGGCATTAATGTATATCAACTTCATCAATGCTGAAATTGTGTAAAATTAATTATCTATAAACGATTAAAAATTGACATTTTATAATAAAATCATATACACATAGTAATTACATGCAAGAGTTATCGTTATTGAAAAACTTCACAATACTGAAATATGTAGCCGGTTTCCTGAAGTACAAAAAAATGGACACATGTGATTCATTGATTAAAAAACAACTGAATAAATGCATGGATTGCATTTCAATACTTTAATATTGAAAGAACACACTGTTCTGTCAATAATAAGCATACAATATTCATCAGTTTAATATTAAACATTAGAATATGCGGAAATTGTGATACTGTCTCCCTCCATTGGATTTTCAACTAGGGATGTACTTCCTATTTCCGTTTAGCAATACACTCCGGATCCTATGACCTAAGACTACTTGGCACAGGTGGTACATACAAATAGTTGATAGACTACTAACGTACGGTACCACAGCATAGCATTACAGACACTTCGAGGCAGGTGAGTAAACCTTTGTAACGTTCCGGGGTCCGTACCCTAGTCACTTCTAAGGATCCCTGTGCTGTAAGCTTAATTATAACTATACTACAGTTGCAAATATATACAAATATGTGTTACTACCTTGTAACCAGCATACCCATTACCTAATGCTTAATACATGATATGAACAGAATAATTACTGCACGACTATAGAACTAATACCAAAGCTATCTGCTCTGTATCAATATAACACACTACACACACTACCGTACAATCCAGGCAGTACACAACTCGACTACCTAGTCGCGGCTAGCCCTAGTCACTATAGTTGCCCTATAGTCAGCTACCTAGCTATATGACCTAGTCGCGCCGATCACGACAGCCTCATACTAGTATACAACTACAGCACTCTCTAATGACCACGACTATCCCTAGTCACGACTAGCTCTAACGACTATACCTAGTCACGACTAGCCTGGTCGCGACTACCCCTAGTCACGACTAGCACCAACGACTATACCTAGTCACGACTAGCCTGGTCGCGACTAGCACTGCACAGCCTATGCCCGTGACACCTTCTGTCTAACGGTATCTCGCTACAGCACTCAATCGTTTATTTAATATATCTTCCATGCAGTGTGTGGATCAAGGCAAGACTTATTCAGTCACTTCTATCTTTCCAACACAAAGCCGGTCTCGCATATATTAGGTACTTGCGATCTGTCGCTGCTGTACACACGCCGAGATCAGAACAGAACTGGGCCGATTGTCGCTGGATTCTGCCTATTTATACCCGCTTGCTATCCTAGCGACACCTAGCGGTGAGTGAGGTATAATCACCTGTACGTTTTGATTGTACCGCGAAAACTATCTGTCTTCTAAGCGTTCGAATTACGGAGACATAACACAAATGATTAACGCCAACAGATCAACGTATCTAACCTGAATAATATGCTAAATCAGCGAAGGTAGGATTACGATATGTACATTCATCACACCTTTTTGATATACAACAAAACAAAGTAACTTGAAACTAAATAAAAGAGACCACAACAGGATCCGAGAAGAGACATATAAACAAACCAGTAACAAAAAAATACTGAGACTGTGATAGGTATTGCGGAAAGTTGAACGCATTTTACATCATATTGTGTAATACCTGTCGTAATGTCGGTCACCTTAAGCTTGTTGAATGTCACCAGCTTTCTAAACTCCAGTGAATATGTTTAAAACTAATTATGCACTGGAATGCTTTAGCTGCAAATCAGATGCAAACAAAATCTGATACTCTTTGTTATGACAAAGAGAACCTTATTTTTAATCATACCGTATGTATTTTGTTCACATAGATTCAGTGTGGCGACAAACGGTAGACATTTACGGTGGCCCGTTAGAGCTATAATATGAAAATTATTTATTAATGACCGCCACTAATTTATCTGGAAACGAGGCCGCCAATTGCTTATCACACGGAAGTTTATAAATCTATAATTCATTCATTTACTTTTGAAATACGCAACAGAAATCATAAAAAATCTTCACAGATTCCATCAATCTGATTAAAATCATATGTTACATGGCTTCGTTAACTTCGTACTACGCCTGAACATCGGAGTGTGCCGCGGTCAGGGTCACGTTCAGGTGACCTTTATATTTATAAATACTCATTAAATTTTGATCAATCAGAGAACCTCTTTCAAAAGGGCGCTCGGAGTTGTAACAAATATGGCGGCATTGATGAGAATGATGCGAAAGTTCTGAAGTTATTTGAGACTGATCGTCTGAAACCCGAACAGAAAAAGATATTCGAAGCTTTATTAGAGAAGAAAGACTGTATGGCGGTGTTGCCTTCGCAATTATTTCCCAATGGGTACATTTCCTTGGCGTCGTAGAAACGTCAGTTCCCGCCGCCATATTTTTTTTGGAAAACTAATCTGTTCGATACCCCTCGCTATTTATCTATCAACCATAATATTCCGATTCGCTGTTAAAATTTTGCCAGCGCGCCTCTGATTGGTTCATCTACAGGTCACTTGAACGTGACCCTGACCGCGGCACATTCAGATGTTCAGGCGGAGCCATGTAACAGATGATTTTAATCAGATTGAGATTCCATTAGACGATGAAAAAATACTGTTGCCCGATTCATACAATGCACGTGCACACACCTTAAACACATTTAAACACAATCCGGGGATCACCTATATTGATCCGTTACGATACTTCAACAGGGATTCCGACATCATCAGTACCGTACAAGAATCTAAATGTCATCAAACAGCTGGTCACTGTAAGTCAGTTATTCCTCTGAATTAAGTGTCCTTAAACTGTCGCGCGGTGCCCGAATGCCCCGTGGTATGATAAAAATCTCCACATAGAAAAGCAGAAACGTAGAAAAGCAGAGAGACTGTGGCAAAGGACCAAATTAACCGTTCACAAACAGATTTATAGGGAACAATGTTGACTAGTTGGTTCACTTCTCATTCAGTCAAAGAAGGTTTATCATTTCGAAAGAATTTAAGAATGTGGTAAGGACCATAGATGGGTCAGAAGGGTGAAATTATCCTAACAAGCTTTAATTTTGAAAAAGATTTGTCAAACAAGTTCAGTGATTACTTTCTGAATAAAATCAGCTCGATCAGGAAAAATATATCGTAAGTGGATAAAATCCCTCAAACGGTACATAAGGAGAAGGATTTTAAAGATTAAAACATCAATTTCCCGTTTGAGCCCCGCCCCACTGCACCCTAAGCGGGGCCACACCCACTGTGTATACAAGATCAAGTCCTGTTGCCCAAGGGTGCTCTAGACCAAATTAGAATAAACAAAAACCTTATCCCTACGGTAGAGGCAGGGTTTTAAAGGTTTTACCTCAATTTCCCCTATTGGGGCCCGCCTCTCTCCACCCAGGGGTCCAAACCCACCATTTTAACAAGATTGAATCCCCTTGGCCCAAGGATGCTGCAGACCAAATTGGGATGAAATCCCTTAATTCTTATGGTAGGAGAAGTATTTCAAAGGTTTTACCTCAATTTACCCTATTCGTCCCCGCCAATTAGCCTCCAGGGGGAGGGGCACACCAACCGTTTATACAAAATTGAGTCCCCTTGGCCCAAGGATGCTCCAGACTACATAAGGATGAAATCCCTTTATCCCTGCTTCAAAAGAAGGATGTCAAAGGTTTTACCTTTATGGCCCTTATTTTCACCCGCCCCTCTGCCCCCCGGGAGCCCAACCCAAAGGATGTGCTTGACCAAATTGAGATAAAACCCCATAATCCCTATGGTAGAATAAGGATTTCAAAGATTTCACCTATATTTCCCCTATTGGGCCCCGCTTCTCTGCCCCCAGGAGGGCCACACCCATCGTTCATTTGAGTCCCCTTGGCCTAAGGATGTTCCAGGCCAAATTTAGTCCAAATCTATTGGGTCGTTCAGGACTAGTAGCATTTTTAAGGAAAAGTTGACGGATGGACGGACGGACGCTGCGGTATGGCATACGCTCAACATGGTACGTCCTTCGGACCAGTTGAGCAAAAAATTGATGTTCGAACAAGTTTGAAGTTTGAAAAAGTGTTAAGTTTGCGCAGTAGTTTCTAAATAAACAAGCCTTAATATACCACAATCCCCCAATATCAAAATCAGTTTTCGTACTCATGGCAACGAGCAATATGCCTACTCCTAACAAGATTTCTCACCCGAGTGAGAAATCGTACAGAGATGAGAAATCGTGTTGCGAACCCAGCAATGTTAGCTGGGTGAGAAATCGTGCCGTAACAGGGGCTGCCTTATCAGACGATAACTACTAGTCATATGCCACCTGGCTAATATCTCCCTATGTGTGTATGTCTGCGTGTGTGCTGAAGATGTATTGAATCGAAGATTTAATATCAAGCATAAACGTATTTGTTAATATCAATCATGCTTTTGGCATGGCGATTCTTCAGACAATAAGCATCAGCTAATATCGTCGATTATAAACAAAACTCTAGATAAAAGCAAGGATATACAATTTTTATTTCTTTACTTAGTACAACATTTGATGTGTTTTTACATAAACGAAAAAAATGCATGGTATCTTTGGTAACATATATAACTGTTTTAAAAAGTATTTAGCTGCAACAACACATCGCAAAAAAGGCAATATAATGATACTAAAAATCACTGATTTTATAGCGCTCTATCCTACTGAAACTAGCAGCCCCAGAGCGTTTTACAAATTAATGTACAAGACATAATAGGTAAAAGTAAAAGTAGACATCTTACATGAAATACTACATATTCATATGCAATTGATATAGAAACAAAAACAACTTCTTTTGGTAAATGTTACGGCTACCAATGTACTCTTATACATATTTAAGCTGGATTTGACCAAGGTTTAGTTCTAGGTGTTAATTACATGACGTTAGAAGTTTCTCTCGCTGTGAAGTCTTCAGCTGATGATTCATTCATGTATAAAGGTAAAGTTAATGTCTGAAACTAGTAAGTAAACTTTTCAGCAAAGATCTTGAGTCGGCCAATAATTGGGCTGATGAATGTCAAACCAGTTAGCGCAATCAATGCTGTAGGTATTAATTACTGTCTGAAAAGTATGGCCGAAAGCTGGCCATCTTGAATTTTGAGAATTTAAGATTTTTAGCACTATTTCTTAGAACGTACTGGAGTGTTCTTGCTCAAAATTCACGCGAGGGTTCCCATTGTCCCTATGATAGCTGAGATGGTGATCAGACACCAGTCTTAAATTTTGACAGTTTTATTTTGTTATAACTATTTCATATGCATGTAATTCTTTGGCTCCTTTAAAAAAAAAAAAAAAAAAAAAAAAAAAGGCCCTAATAAAAATGTATCCGTCTTTGAAACACTTCCTATTATGTTAGAATAACAATTTTTAGGATTTATGATAAAGTTATGCAAGTTTTATACAATAACATTTGTTATGTAGCAGATTCATATTTGTAAAGATATAAAATTGAGAAATGATAATTGTAAAATATTATAAAGTAATTGCCATGTATGCTGTGTTATTGTAAGAATATAAACTGGTAACAGTAGGCAGTAATTATTTCTTAACATTTTGTTCAAGTTACATGTAGTAAGTGTATATTATGAAAAGATTATCCAGTAATTAGTTTATGAGAGTTACGTCCCTTTATTCTATGTATGCATTTTACTTATGAAGCGTTGTGCTAAACGAAGTCTTTTGTGTTAGTTTACAGAGTGAATCTATATGATAAAGGAATGTTGAACCATGTTTGTCAGTGCTCTGGAATAAATATGAATCGTAAAGAAGTTTTGGTTGTTTGTGAAACCACGCGGCTATAGCTGCAAATAGCACATGCCATTACGAGAGGTACGTACAAGATTCCTGGGTAACATAGAACGTGTAAGGAAAATGAAGAGCAAAGGTAGAATAAGATGTATTTATACAACAGGGATTCACTTTCCGCAAAACTAATGCTGCCGTATATTGCAGTTGTAGAGTTGTTTGTAGAGTGCATAAAGTCGGGAGTGTATGTAGCAGGGATTCAGCTAAAAGTAGGAATCAATAGCAGGTATTAAGCTGGAATGAAGTGTTGCTTAAACTTCACAGGGCCATATCATTTTGCGATGGGGTCAATTATATATATATATATGAATAATAAGTTATTTCCTGTACTGTGTACCGTTTGTGACATCATAATATGCATGATGACATCATCATTTCATGTGCACTCTTCAAAATAAACAAGTCTACTGAAGAACCTCATAAGAGGTGAAAAGCTTAGAGACATCGGTTATTTTTGTTTGTTTTTCCTTATTTACATGTAGTTACATTATGATCACTGGCTGTGTTTTGTCGTTGTTCTGTTAAAATAAATAAATATTTCCCCTGATGAACCTCTAATTAAGGCTAGAGAGACGCTAGGAAACGCTTATCATTTGGTTTTTTTATGTTTAACCATCACGCGTTTTTTCTGATTTATATATATAACATATATCATAAAACAGAGTATAAAGACACCGTTTTAGAACTTTGTTTGCTCTGTTTGTCTGTTTGCTAATTCAAAAGTATGAACGATTCCATATCATCTAAAATTTGAATGTTTCTTTGACGGAAAGTGGCAGGTGTCTGTCGGATGTTTCGCATGAGAAAGTTGATTATCAGCTGAAAGGCTTTGGGAGATGGATTGATTCCTGCCAACGTAGCCAGCTCTCTTTCATAATTCCATACAAGTTCATTACCTAAATCAGCGTGTGCCTTCTCACCTCTTCCTTTTCTCTCATTGAAATCACTCTCGGCATCTTTGTACATATCCGTTTCGGACGGAAGAACGATTTTACCATCCAACACGGCAACGGCAAATCTCGACATCACGTGCCCCATCGAGAAAAATGCCACTTTTTCAAGAATACCGACAAAGAATAGATTTTGGTATTTTATATTGACCACGTGCTTATATAGAGGCATGACCCTGTTGTCGGTAATGTTTATGTTAATGACGTCATCACTTAGAAACGGAAAGTTGTAACGATATCCGGTACAGAATAGTAAAACATCTACTTCCTCCTCGGTGTCGTCTAAGAAGACGACCGTCGTACGGGTCATCCGCTTTATCCCAGGCTTTTCAGTGACGTTTTCAGTGAAAACTGATTTCAAACGTTCTTTCTCATGGCTCAGAAAAATCTGTAATTAAATAAAAAATGCTTTTGAATTCAATAAAACTATAAAACGGTCTCGTCTATTTCAAGAAACAAAAATAAATGAAAAAAGGAGAACAAAAAAAGGTTTTGATTATAATCGGGACCATAACATAATTCGCTCACAGCCAAATTGGTTAATCTGATTATACTTGCATACAAAAACGTACCACATTTGAGCAGCATCGGTCAATCAAAAGCCACTGTATGGCGGCCATTGTGTTTAATGATTAAACAGAAATCTAGTTAGAGTTTGAAGTGCCATAACGCATCTACCAACAAAATGTAAGCAAAGTCGAACAAAATACATGATGAACATGTATGAATTTTGTCCAATCAGAAGCCAGTCTACAGCGGCCATTTTGTTCGATGACTAAGATATGACAACCATTCTGTGTAGTCAAAACACAGGAGCTGCGTTCGCAAGTGTAAAGTATCCAACCAGTAATTTCGTCCGGAAACCATTTGGCGGAAGAAAAAGAAGAAGAAAAGAAGAAAAGACGTTTTGGTGATTTAAAATATCTTAGAATTCTGATGACTTTGTGACATAAATTTAGGATTTCTTAGGGTGGAAAAATGTTAAAATTTTGTATTTCGGTATCTTAATGCATGTGTCCTATTCCACACAATACAATTTTTTTTTTTTATCCAAACACAGACTTATGATATTCAGTATTCAATCTCTCTTTTTAAAACTTCATATGCATAAAAGAATAGCAGATATTTTTAGAGTACGTTGTTCATTGATTTATCAAACTTTGTATGTTATAAGAACCTATCATGCCCAAGAGTGTAGGATAGGTAAACTTAACTCGAGGGATTTTCAAATTCCAGATGATGGATTTCCCTATCTTACACCCCTGGGCATGAAAGAGTATTTTTCTCTCATTCCAACTGCATGTACCAGAATAAGCTCAGAAACCATGAAAATGCGTTTGGACTTGCTACCATTTAAAAAATGTTAGCTTCTCCCCTGAGATTTTTTGACGAAAACAAATAGGTCAGCTAGATTTAGCATACCCCATAGTTTGCACAGAGAAAATAATCTCATTTTTCAAACTTGTAGTGAAAAGTTGTACGTTCAATATATTGTAAAATGTTTATTTTCATTACATCGTCTTTTCCGTATTACGGCATCGGTCTTTTCCTTTCTTACACTGGTCAGCTCTATCTTAAACAAACGGAAATGAGAGAAATACCACGCTTTGGCATTGCCACACTTATTATACTCTTGAATTCTGGTCGCATTTACTTAAACCAGCTATGAATGCCACGACCCAACTGATGACGTCATAATTGTAAAGTTCTATACCATTCTCCCACAATTATGGTTGTTCCTTTCATTGAACAAACATTTACAAAATATCGTACATACAGTAATTTCAACTGTACACTTAATGTTGATAAGTTATTTCTTATTAAAAGTTGCCACTATATAACCATACAAAAGTTCAGTTGGTATTCATATAGGCTATGAATCCATGGACCGATTGTTGACGTCATCATTATATTACGTTATATATTTTTCGTTTGATATCACTGACCGTCTCGATGCCTATTCTTTTCACTGACCAAGCATACACGATACATACATTATTTGAAGTTAACTCTGAATAATGATAAGTGTAAGCGATCTTTTATGAGATGAACAGATTCCAAAAATGTTAAATATAAGTATTGAACTTGATGAGTGAGTTTTACGTCCGCTTCACTACCGAGTAGTTCGGTTATCCAGCAGACTAAAAGTATTGAACTACTTTCAGTTGGCATTTATAGGCTATATGAATTCCAACTGGAAAAAGGCAAATCTGACATGAAGCGTAAGCGTGCTATTTTGAATTTGTCTTTGTCCAGTTGTCAATCATATTTATAAGCAAACGAAAGCAGTTCGATGCTATACACAACTTATGAAACAATTCCAGTTACGTACCTGTTGAGCGTATGGTGATATATCGACAGCAAGGTCAAGACCCGAGAAGGAGGCTCCGAGTATGACAATCCTTTTGTCTTTGAACTTCTCGGGAATTCTGTAGTTTCTACTGTGGATGATCTCCCCTTGAAACTCTTCTACTCCATCAATATCCGGTATGTTCGGTTTATCTGCATGACTTCATAAAAACACAAAATAATGTCAGGATATTGGAAGAAGGAAAATACCTTCAAATGAAACTGATATCAGTAAATTAACAGATTCGTTTCCGTTGTGACAATACTGACAACACCTATTAGGAAAACGAACTTTTGTTTATTATTTTTTTGCTTACGTTGGAATTCATTTTTGCCCATGTGAGGTTTAGTGAATACTAGCAATATATGTGTATCCAAAAATAATACAAGGGTACATAGCGGTAATTCAACCTGAGACCTTGGAACACTTAAACACGATGGCATATTTCGTGCCATCCAGTTATTCTGGGTCGCGATAACTGTGGTGACAAGTCGTGCTTTTGATTCATTGACGCCACATTTTACCATATTTTTTTAGTTGACATGTCGCGTTAATCAATCAAGATAAATCAAGGTTGTTTTCGACTTAAATTTGTCATATTGCCAAATATGGAGTCCGGTTAGTAATGGGGTGATAACTCATAAGTAGTACCAATCGTTAAGTCCGATAATTTATTAATCTTAGCAAAACTGACATCTACCACCTATTGAACCCAGATTCACTGCTCCAGATTCAATTTGTATAAAAAAAATCACCTCTAATAGGAAATGAAATGCAATTTCAGATGGCAACCTGCAATTTTCTGAAAACAACAGGCAACGCTCATTTTTCACATTTGGCAGAGTATTGCATGCATTACACTAAATGTATTTTTCAGACGAAGAAATCGGTCAAGAATTTAAGAGGGGAAAATTGCTCCTTTAGGCCTACCCATTGCATACAAATACAGCATCAAACACAGCCTGCTTCTGTTCGTCTTTGTTCCGAATGTCGTAATAGGACACCGTCCATTCGGGATGCCTCTCATTGCTTGTCGGACACACGTTGTTGACATAGGTGTGGGTCTGAGAAGAAAAACAAAAGTGAAATCTATACCCGATCTGTGTCTTGAATGCTTGTGTTTATGCATTGCTTTCGATTTAAAACGTAGCTTGCTTCTAATTTGCAGTCTTATAATGGCAAGTACGTGTTTGCGTTAAACAACGCCAGGAATTAATGCTTTATCTAATCAACACATACTTCCATACTCACATAATTAACAGGATATGGTGAAAAAACGAAACAGTATTTCATTTAGGGATCCAGGTACCACTGCCAAAAAACTAGCCACAGGTGTACGCATTGGGAAATGATTTTCCTGCATGACTACAACTTTGATTTATCATATCTGAAAAGAGAATCATACCTTTTGGGACTTATACAACAGAAAATAATAAAAAGGTTAAAATAAATAAAATGCATAATCCGTTACAGTGTTCTTGAGTTAAAAACTTCAGCGGGGCAAGACCGGGGATTCGAACACACGACCTTTTAGTTTGTTATACTGTCGTTCTAACCGATCAGCTGTTTTGTCAACGGACGTATCCTGGCCCGACTGGCTTTAAGCGAGGGGAGGTTACTGTGTATACGAAAACCTAGAGTGCAGTGAGGCAGGGATCCTTAACAATAAACTAGAAAATGTCTGTAAGACATAAATGCCCCCGCTGCCATGTGAAGTAATTAGCTACAGTGTTCTATAAAAAGTAACAACCACTTTGATCTTGATACCCTGAAACATTCACACACACAAGGTTCTACACCTAAAGTTGATAAGTTGATTTTAATATTCATATGTTTTTTTTCTGTATGTTATTACCATCCTGAAACACAAGGATGCCAGAGGTACCATACTTGACCTTTGCATAAAGTTTCACCAGAATCCATGAAAGAATGAAGTTGCTTAGTGTTTAAATTGAATCAGTTGATGATTTTCTATATATAGCAACAGTGACCTTGGCCTTGACCTTGGCCTTGACCTTGGATCCCTGAAACACAACGATGTCCGAAGTATACTCATACTTGACCATTGTATAAAGTTTGACCAATAGCAAAACGTAATCGTGAACATATATAGAATAGAATTACAGATTGTGTTTAGTACTTCAAAAATCCTCACACAAAAGTATTCATAACTTCTCTGCTTGGTTTTGCACCGCGCTGAAGTAGCATTGCACACCTTATGTTTGATGAATAATTATCCAAAAAATATGTTGATTTCTACTAATACGTATAGCACTGTTTAAAGGAAACCCTGCTAGAACCAGTTAATAGTTACCGTGATGTATTTCTGGAGATCAAAATGGTCCACAAATCGATTGACGTAGTTCACAACTTCCTGTCTGTGCATGAAGCACGAGTCTATATCCGGATCTGTATTTGGGAATTCTGGGAACTCCATCATCGGCTTTGGTAAGTTACTCCTGTGTGAATCCATATTAATGAAAGAATAAAACGAAAGTAAAAGTTACTTCAACATCAACATTCGTTTCTTTTCTGCGTAGCAATTAAATGTTATCCAGTTAAGTATCTAAGACAGATGTATTCAGTCTTTGTTGAACAATTTAAGGCCGTAAAATCATGACATACAGTGTACATTGTAATGTCCATATTTCGATCATTACTTTGTGTATTTTATCTTACGTAAATCAGACTGGTTTGCCCGGTGGTATAAACAAAAGCTTTTAATATGAAAGGAAATCGGTAAAGACACGTGGTTGAAACCTGGAGTCCTTTGATGAATGGCGAGTGTGCTATCTACTTCACCACTCGAGTCGGCCACCTGTATATTTCGATACGTGTTATCCATGTTCGTGTGACATCTGGTTTTAATTTTCCGCTTCAGCCCTTATTTGGAACCCGTTTTATTGAGAAAGATTGGATTTTTTTTCTCTATTTTTCCATCAGTTGTTACTGCAAGGCCGAGCGAAAAAAATGAAGACCACAGTTGAATCATGTAATATCTCATTACATACCATAGATCAACTCTCGACCCATAGCAGTCCGAGAGGTATTGTGATGAATGTACATATCGTAATCCTACCTTCGCTGATTTAGCATATTATTCAGGTTAGATACGTTGATCTGTTGGCGTTAATCATTTGTGTTATGTCTCCGTAATTCGAACGCTTAGAAGACAGATAGTTTTCGAGGTACAATCAAAACGTACAGGTGATTATACCTCACTCACCGCTAGGTGTCGCTAGGATAGCAAGAGGGTATAAATAGGCAGAATCCAGCGACAATCGGCCCAGTTCTGTTTCGATCTTGGCGTGTTCACAGCAGTGACAGATCGTAAGTACCTAATATATGTGAGACCGGCTTTGTGTTGGAAAGATAGAAGTGACTGAATAAGTCTTGCCTTGATCCACACACTGCCTGGAAGATATATTAAATAAACGATTGAGTGCTGTAGCGAGATACCGTTAGACAGAAGGTGTCACGGGCATAGGCTGTGCAGTGCTAGTCGCGACCAGGCTAGTCGTGACTAGGTATAGTCGTTGGTGCTAGTCGTGACTAGGGGTAGTCGCGACCAGGCTAGTCGTGACTAGGTATAGTCGTTAGAGCTAGTCGTGACTAGGGATAGTCGTGGTCATTAGAGAGTGCCGTAGTTGTATACTAGTATAAGGCTGTCGTGATCGGCGCGACTAGGTCATATAGCTAGGTAGCTTACTATAGGGCAACTATAGTGACTAGGGCTAGCCGCGACTAGGTAGTCGAGTTGTGTTCTGCCTGGATTGTACGGTAGTGTGTGTAGTGTGTTATATTGATACAGAGCAGATAGTTTTGGTATTAGTTCTATAGTCGTGCAGTTATTATTCTGTTCATATCATGTATTAAGCATTAGGTAATAGGTATGCTGGTTACAAGGTAGTAACACATATTTGTATATATTTGCAACTGTAGTATAGTTATAATTAAGCTTACAGCACAGGGATCCTTAGAAGTGACTAGGGTACGGACCCCGGAACGTTACAGTATTCGTATCTCGGGTTGATATGGAAGCCTTGAATTTATAAAAGGATGTTTTTGGCAGATTAGATAATAACATACTCATGTGTGTGGACATATTTTGTACAGACACACACACTAATACACGCACATGAAGTCACACACGTAAATAAACAAGGACGTGTAATGAGAACAGTTGGAGTTATTCAACAGGCTTGATATTGTACTTACATTGCGTCGCGGTACATGGCGGAAAAAACAGGCATCCCGTACTCGTCAGTGTGACTGTTCTCATTATACTGCCATATCCCACCTACACCACTTCCTCTTTCAAAGCATGTTGGGAGGTACTTCCGGTCCGATGCGAGGAGACTCCTCAGCGTGGCAAGCCCAGATATACCTGCCCCAATCACCGCCACGCGTCTTGCCTGCTCCGCCATCTTTATCAAATAAGCACAAGATATTTGTTAGCAGGGTAAACATCAGTCACGTGACAACGCCAAGGTCGTAAGATGACTGGTGCCCAGAGAGACACTGCCACAAAGAGATAGTAGGGTGCAGGGTGCAATACATTATCAGTCTCCGTTTACAATACATATGCAGTGGGATACTGCAGGTACTCCTGTATAACTTGAAATATTCTTGGTTTCTTTAATTTACCCTAAACATATACAGAGGACAAGGAAGAAATCATTCCATTTCTGCAGGATAGGGGGCCAGGGTAGGGAGGGCGCATGGATCGCCTCTTACTATCATGCAGTGAGAAACAGCAGGCCTTTTCTTTCCCTGAACCTGCATGGGTTGGGTAAAGAACACATTTAGGTGGCTAAAGAGTGGAGGGTGTGTGTGAGTGTGTGTGTGGTGGTGGGGATGGGGTTAGGGGATAGTGCAGGCCTTTTCTTTCCCTGAACCTGCATGGGTTGGGTAAAGAACACATTTAGGTGGCTAAAGAGTGGAGGGTGTGTGTGAGTGTGTGTGTGGTGGTGGGGATGGGGTTAGGGGATAGTGCAGGCCTTTTCTTTCCCTGAACCTGCATGGGTTGGGTAAAGAACACATTTAGGTGGCTAAAGAGTGGAGGGTGTGTGTGAGTGTGTGTGTGGTGGTGGGGATGGGGTTAGGGGATAGTGCAGGCCTTTTCTTTCCCTGAACCTGCATGGGTTGGGTAAAGAACACATTTAGGTGGCTAAAGAGTGGAGGGTGTGTGTGAGTGTGTGTGTGGTGGTGGGGATGGGGTTAGGGGATAGTGCAGGCCTTTTCTTTCCCTGAACCTGCATGGGTTGGGTAAAGAACACATTTAGGTGGCTAAAGAGTGGAGGGTGTGTGTGAATGTGTGTGTGGTGGTGGGGATGGGGTTAGGGGATACAGCAGGCCTTTTCTTTCTCTGAACCTGCATGGGTTGGGTAAAATACATATTTAACAAGTGGAAAGGGTAGTGGGGGACATGTAGTGGGTACATTGGTATAGGTTGCTAATGTTGGGGGAGGAGGGGTTAACAACTTAACAGTAAGAACATTAAAGAGTAATTAAAGGGCCTAACAGTTGGAGGGATAATGGGTACAAGCTACTATGGGTCCTTTATTAGGTGGCGGCTAATGGGAATGTGACTATTAGGTAGAGGATTCATGTTTAGGAGGCAATACGATACAAATAAATGGATGTGGCCTACATGTAAAGGGCTAACACTGGGTAGCTGATGGGAGTGAGGCTAAAAGGTAGGAGAAAAATTAAAGAGAAAGGACTTCATGGGTAGGAGCGAGGAGAGGGTGAATGGGTCTTAATGTCTGTTTACCTTCTGAGGAATCTAAACCCCTTAAACTTGCCATGAAGAGAAGTCTGTTTCAATCTTGTCAGATATCAGCTGATTGAGTGCACCCTCTTTTCAAGGAGAAATAGTCATTAATTTCATCATGCATAAAATCTGTAGCGGACTGGACTGTGTGGCTCAACACAACCAGGTAGCTCAGTTGGTAGAGTGTCTGTTCAGAAGTCAGAGGGTCCTGGGTTCAAATCCTGGTCTGGTCGTGCATTTCTCTTTTTCTTTTTCGAAAATTGGGGAGTTTTTCCCATCCTTGCTTCAAGCACTGGGTTAATTCTTGACAAGGGGATACCCCAATCTAGGTTAATGTAAAATAGTTGAAGACTTAGAAAGCGGAGGGAGGAATATAGCCGAACTAGACAGGCCGGTCAATCGTCAGTGACCAGGTAACTCAATTACTAGAACTTATGTCTCGAGTACGGAGGGTCCCAGGTTCGAATCCGGTCTGTTCGTGCACAGATCGTTGTGTCAAATCACAAATACAAAATGTTGTATACACATACATGTCAACTTTTTTAAATTTCCGGGAGAGGGGGGGGGGGGGGGGGCAAAATCGGGAGTCTTCTTCAAAAAAAGGGAAAGTTGGCACGTATGTATACATCTTTAAATTGTACTTGTACTATACTATTGGGAATCCGTTTACCCACAGGTACATATATAGTGTACTAGCCACACCTATAATAGACTAGTATCTGCACAGGTGTTTGAAATTCTGACTGTAAATTGAGATAATAATCATATAAAAAAAAATTCGGTAAAAGTACTTATTTTTTATATGATTTTTATCTCAATTTACAGACAGAATTTCAAACACCTGGCCATGGTATTTGTACGTTTATCAACGTACACGTGTTTTGTTAACAACGCAAAACTTGAATGGTCCCTACATGATATACAGAATACAGCTCGTGTGTAACGAATTATTCAGTCAGATGTGAGTTAATAAACTGCTCAAGAGTTACCAAATAGCATCATAAGGTGTTCAACAATAATTCCAAACCGTGTATTCTAAGCACTGAATTATTTCAAAGGATTCGTCTCATTCCAGCAAAGCGAATTACTTGGCTTGCGATCTGAACCGGTCACGTCATACACGGGGTATGATAAATATATCCAGCATAAATAATTAACGGTTGAATACACAAATTAATACAATAATGCATACATTATTAAATTGTTATATTTGTTTTTATTTACTAATCCTCTAATTACATTTTTGATGTTTATTAGTAGCAATCCGTTAATTCCCTGATGTAATCGACTAATGCGTCGATGAAATAAAATTGAATAAAAAAATAATAGTATTAAGCTGGCATTATTTTGTTATGTACATGAAATTACAGAATACAATTTATGTGAACTCCTGATTACAAAGGTGGGGTAAAATTGAGGAAAATGGTGAAAATACATGATTTTTAAAGAAAATTCTCAGGCTGGGGTTTTTCCTGAAGCCCCCCCCNCAAGAGAAGATACCTCTGCAATACGCAAAGACGGAATAGCCACGCCGCGCGGCAGTGCCTATTGATACTCGGGTGGTAATAGCGGGGTGTTCTCAGTTCCCCCACTTTTTAGAAAACAAAGATACGTGTTGATATAGGAAGACAATAGCAAACCAATTATAGTATGTTTCTTACTTACCCCACAAGTAACTTACCTGTGTGAAAGTTTCCTGTCCGACATGGAGATATATTTCATAAGTTTTGATAAAGTTTAGGGGGTATGAAACTGATTGAAAAAAAGATAATAAATAAATACTTAATTGTCTTTTTATATAAAAAAAAATTAGGTTTTTTAATTGAGATTTTCTGTGTATGTTATGTAAGGTATTTATAAGGTTAATAATTTGAAATTCATCTATGCATATAAACATGATATAATCATTACATACATGATGTACAATACATAAATAGTAAGAGTTTACAGTAAAATATATCAATACTTGTACATAACATTTCATTTACTTTACACTCTTTAAGCCAACAAATACAAGACAAGCTAAAATATATATACTAAAGAGCTATGGCGGAAAACTGCCTGAATTTCCCGAAGTTGGCATTTATGAATACAGGAGAGAAAAAATAAAGATTAATACTTTCTAGTAGCGAAAATGCATGGAATAGGTATCAAACCAATTGAATAAGATTTTTTTAACTGCTGAGATATGAGATATTGTTAATATAATACTGTAAATATAGCCATATTCACTATATCTATGAAAGTGATGGGGTTTCCCAGACGTACACAATACATCATCACTTTCTCATCCGAAGACCAACTTTTGAATACAGTTTTTGACTCCGTGATGTAATATGCAAAAAAAGTAAATCGTATGACGGGAAAGTGGTCCTCCTTTAGCTGTTTGGAAAAGTGCTCAAAATAATGAAAAAACATGACTGATCCAGTTTCTCAAAAGTGCGACAAGTGTTTCTTCGATTACTATAGTAAAACAGATTGTATTTGCCGAATGTGTAACGCAGTTTACTTTTGACCAGAAGAAGTGAACGGTGCAAGTTCGAATCCACGTTCAGATTCACTTTTTTAACATTTAGGCATGTGATCTTTTTGCTTAATTACATGTAAGCAATGCAATATTCTAATAATACCAGATGTTCCACTTTAGATTATTAATGGAACACTTGTACGTATTGAAACTAAATCACGTGTTTATGTAATTCTTAGTTAGAAGGAAGAAACCGACCCAATTCTGAGGGCCCCACATTAGTTGCCTCTTACGACAATGCAGTTGGGTATAGCAGGCTTCTTGTTTACCCCACCCTTCACGGGTTCGCGGGTGTGGTACCTGGTTATATATTTGAATTATATGCATTTAGTAAGCATTAAGGCTGATCTAGGCGCATTCCATGAAAGTATTAGTTACTACAATAAGGGAACACTATATACCTTCCATAATTGATGCATTAAGCATGCACATGTATATTACTACCTAGTATCTGGTCTTTCAAAACATTGGAAGTCAAGCATGCTAAGTTTGGAATGGTCACTTTGTCATAATCTGCTAGCCTACCTCCGACTGACATCCTTTGCGTGCCAAATCAGGGTGTGGTGAGGCATGGAATCTAAAGAATGACGCCTCAATTTGAGTATCCTAAGAGAGGTTTCACTGCGAGAAGGATATTTCGAATTTCCGGACCACAAACTTCTTTACCGTTGTGGTATTGCCACGGTTAAAAGTAACTCGAAAGTTTATTGCACTTATGTGACTGTATAAAAAGACCTTTATTTTCCTTGTTTTATACAACATGGATATAGGACAATATTTAAGTTAAGTGAATTCACAAAAACTCTACAAAATTATGTGTAGGCAGGTGCCTACTCGAGCCTAAGATAGCTAAGCTACTGGCTGTCGTCACTCGGTGTAATACCTTTTTGCACAAGAATTAAATCTAACAAACGACCGTATAAAATTTCAAAGATTATGCATCGAAACTAACATAAATACAAATGATACGATACACCGTGCATTTAATTACAATAAATGCCACAGGTACAACGACAATCTGTAAAGAAACAGTCGGTACATGTACACCTGGGCCCGTATTCATGAAACCTTTCTCATGCTCAAGCATGGATTCTGTGCTCAAGCCAACTTTCTTGTTATTAGCTTAAATCATGTAAGACAATCAAAAGGTCAAATCTAAACATTGAAACAGTAGTTAGCTTCAAGGCTCTTCAAAATGTTTCCAAAGCATTGACAAAACAAGATTTATTTATTAAGTTACAACAAAAACAATAAATTAGACTTGAGCATGAAAACGGTTACATGTATACGGGCCCTGGAGTAAATATAAAAATGTAGACATATTAGCTATTCCGTCTTTGCGTATTGCAGAGTTATCTTCTCTGGGGAGCAGGTATTGATTGTTCCGTCACTTGTTTGTGAGAGTAACGTCATCAATTTTTAAGAAAAAAAACGACATAATTTAATCGCACAAACCAATGACGTAACAATCAATACCTGCTCCCAAGAGAAGATAACTCTGCAATACGCAAAGACGGAATACAAGAAGCACAGAGGAACTGATATTGTATATGTAGAACGGGTGATCATGAGGTAATGAAAGTTACAGTTTCCATCATTTCTGGATCTGATATAGACTGTAAACATTGTAGTCAATTTGACCCATTTTTGGCCCTTCATCTTAGGTCACTGGGGCGAGTCAGGGATTTATGTTCATTAAATCACATTGCTTTCATATGATGATATTTTCGACCTCTTGAATTCTTTCCTGCTGAATTTAAACAAAATATACCATACAAAATCTTATTTCTCCCGTGGATGGATAATGCGGATAAAGCACCTTAAACCCCTTTTATCTATTTGAGCCTAGCATATCTTGGTCTGAAGAAGATAACTGTTGTTATCTTTTGCCGATTTTGACACCCTTTAGCTCCACCTCTAAGTCCCCTAGGGGCTGAAATCCATTTAATTCAAATTTTGGTTTGCTTTTGACCATGGAACCCATCCTGCAGACTACGCCGGAAAAAGAGGCGATCGAAAATGGTC